TTCTGTTGGACATCAGCAAGTGGTCTAAGTCAAGTGGTCTTATGTTTAATCCTTCCAAATGCCAGGCAGTTAACTTTACTTTGAAGCATCGACATGACAAATATGAACTAGTTAGTTCTCATGATGCCTGTAGCATAGATGGCACTGAAATTGAAACCAAGTCAAACATTAAACACTTTGGATTAGTTCTTTCCTCTGACCTTTCATGGTCATTCTGCATCTCATCAATCTCTAAGTAAATGTTTAGTCTTACTTTCTAGATTAAAAGGTTAAGACAATCAGGTATCAACCAACCTTTACTTCGGCAGTTTGTATTTTACCTGTTGTACTCTATTGCTCTGCATTAATCTTTCCTGGGCCTCTCAAAAAAGACTATATCATATAACGAAGGGTATTAGATGCTGTGAGTAGGGCTTGTGGTGTGCCACTGCGTGAGCTCGCCAATACTATAGTCGAGAGATACATAAATTCCTGTACAGAATGGGCAAAGGCTGTGCTAGCAGACTCTCTGCACCCCCTTTATTCAAAACTATCCCCTTGCATCTCATCAGGTAAGACGAGAAGTCAATATAAGAAGTTATATGCTCGCACCACTAAGTACGAAAATTCTACAATAACCTATTTAGCCCGTATTTTGTGTGACGAAGACACTGTTAGACGTGAAACATATAAGGTACTATGTAATTAGCAAAATGAATCGATCCTTTCATTGTTCATCTTTCTGTAATTTTATGGTGTCACCCTTTCTATCGTTTAATTATAACTTAGCTACTTTATTTTAGTTGTTATTAATATTATTACTACAATTTTATACTTTATGCATATTTTTTTCCGTATTGCATACTGTTATTGCTAGATAGCTGCCATAACAACGTTTTGTTATTATTATTATGTAATATTTAATTGGTGGGTGGTGACTGACAGTGGAATTCAGGATGCGCATTTCGTCCTATTTGGGACTCGTCATCTGGATATACCTGCATTTCTCAGTGAGTGATGATGTTCCCACCGAGGCTCGAACCTAGTGCCCGTAGTTTCAAACGCCAAAGCGTTATCCACTAGACCACTTAGACCAGGAGAACCACCTCTTGTGAAACGGGTCATATTAATTTAATTAAATTTTTGATTTTTCTCGTCGACTGATTGGACCGAAGTGCTCGGTCTCAGGTCGACATGTCGGCTTCTTGTGCAGATGCTTCGACGATGTTTGGGTATTTATTTAGTATTTAATTGATGGTGGTGACTAGCAGTGGAAACAAGCCAGGATGCACATTTTGTTCTGCTGGTCACCCATCCACAAATTAAATGCCCAGACATCGTCGAAGCATCTGCACAAGAAGCGGACAGGCACGTCAATCTGAGACCGAGCACTTCGGTCCAATCAATCGACGGGAAAATCTAAAAAAATTCAATTAAATAAGGTGTTGTGTATTTTAGGGTATGTATTTTCCATCATCCGTATACGGCATGTAAATTAAATATTTTGTAAGCATACAAGGTCAGACATCATGACTGGTAGATATCATATCATTATTATTACTATTACTATTGATATTTTTATTGTTGTTTCTGGTGTGCACTCACTCATTCATCCAGGATAGGCAATATAGGAGATTATGAAGATGAGGTGAGGAGAAGAAGCTTCTTATGATTGGTAGGGAGAGTTTTTGTGTAAGTAATGACTTTTATGGATGGTTGAATACCTACCCACCTACCTACCAATCAACCTACCCACGTAGACAGGCATAACCAATTTATGCCCTGTCTCTTATCTTCCATCCATCCCTGTATTTTTTTTTAATATTCTGCATAGGGCGTAAAACGCACATCTTGATGATGCACATAAAGCTTCTGTGTACATGTTTGTTTATTTTCTTGTTGTGCTTGTTTTTGTTGTAATTTTTGACATTTTTGGAAGAAAGAGGATTCTGTGTTTTTTTGGCCTTAGATGAGTAGTTGCTTAAGCAGTCTTCACCTGTGTGCTGTTTTTGTGCAATGAAGTAGGAGGAGAAAAAGAGAGAGAAACAATCCAACTTACACGTTAATCTGCATTGATGTATGTGTGTGTGCGAGTGTGCGTGCGTATACGCATGTGTAGGTACGTGTGTTTGTAGGTCAAATAGGCATATATGTATTACAACACACACAGCTATCATCGACACACACACACATCTGTATATATGCACACACGGCAACGCACTCACACACGCACACACATGCACATGAACACACATGTTAAGATGATAAGTATATACAAGCCATATATATGTGTGCATAAACATACGATACGGTTTTTCACCATTAGACAAACTGACCATCAGGTCATCATCAACATCAGGTAATATATATATGAAATGGAATCGATTATTTATCTTTGTGACTATGTATGGTGACATAGAATTGGAGAAACGTTGACACTCGCAACACAAAAACGGTGATTCTTTCCCCAAATCAGTCAGTCAGTCAATTTACTGACTACATCGTTATTCGGCATTATTTTCATCAAATCAGCGCATTAAAAGTAGACGACTTCACATCATCTGGGATTTTTACACAAACATAATTAGTGTACCTTCTAAATTTTGTTTTACAAAAAAAAAATAAATAAAATAAAAATATACACAAATAAACAAGCAAACAGCGTATTCTCTACAATTTCTCAGTTGATTCTACAAACTGGATATCGTTGGAATCTTGAATATCCAGTTGCAGTTATCCTCCTCTAATTCTATGGAGGGAAAATATTGAATTCCGGTGAATCGTCATTATCAACATTATTATTATTCAGAGGGCAAGTTCATATATATATTCTATATTTCAATCTTATAAATACGTCTTTTTATACAAATTTTACATTCCAATATATTAATTACGTAATGTTTGTGTAGACTTGATTATCCAGCAGATGTGATGTTGGAAGGTATTCAGCGGATATATATATTTTTTTCTCATGACTGTTTTAGACCCTTTCATAGGTTATAGTATTGAAGTTATTGAACTGGATGAATAAAACTGTTGCTATATCCCTGGTTACCTAAAAGTACCTCAAAGTTTATTATTATTCATAAGTAAAAACACAGTTTTTGTTCAGTGAAGAAATTTCTTTTCAACGACTTCATTTTCAAGCTGTACAGTCGTATTTATATTACAGAAAAAGGCTATTAAGTGGCACTAAATAATTGCTCAGTCAATGTACGTATATATGTGATAAAAGTTATAAGGGGTAGAGTTGAAGTGGATAAATTACAAAAATATTAAAGATTGTTTTATAACATAAATATCAAGTGTTGTCTAAAAATTTTGAAAATTAGTTCTTTGCGTTCCTATTTGAGTTTTGAAGTTTTTTGTATAACTGGTACATATTTTAACAGTCATCCGCCTTTACCAGAATCATTATTGGCTAGACAAGGAGATGAAATCCTAGACTGCACATGTGCTGTCGTCGATAAGTATCCTACCTGCTGAACCCTTAGCACATGACTTTAACATATATGACAAATATTATTGTAAAAGAGTAATCTTGCGTTGGCTTTGTACAGAAAGAACTAAGAATTTAAATCATCGATAATCGGTGATTTTGAAACAGAGCAAGAATCCTGTGACAGTGAAGGAACTTGATACATTTTTTAAGTTGTTTCTTTTCTGTCAAACTTGCCATAGCGAATACAAGAATCAGTTTTCACTGAAGAGCTGTATTGCTAAGAAAGAATATCCCAAGCACTTTTGGAAATATCTTCCGCTTCTCAATCATATCCATCCAAATTATTGCTCTTTGAAACGTTATACACTGAACGTCATCGATGAAATAAAATCTTGACTACCAGAGATAGAAAAAAATATTTCACAGAGCAGAGAAATTTCACAGACTGCATCGAATCAGTTTCAAGAAGACGCTGTGAAGATGTCAACTTGAAACTCGTAAATATTCTCAAAGTCGCTGAGACTTATTCACGTTTTCCCGCCACACCAGAGAAATACACTTTCAACTAATCCAGTATATCATTAACTAAGAATTTATTTTCACCGTAATTAGAATGCATGGGTCAGGTTAAAGAATATTTTGAGGATTATGTGAAAAAAATGCTACCATTTAATAATAATAATAATAAAGCTTTATTTCAGATAATATGCAAACATTTCATGTAAAAAAATTTGAGCCTATTTAGATCTGAAATACAGGATTTATTTGTAAAGTAATAATCTAAAGTATATATCTTCATTTCGTTGAAGGATTGCCCAGCGTTTTTCAGGAAGCAACTTAGATTAGCGTAAAATTTCATGTAAAGGTCATTTTATTCAACTGGATGGTTAAAACTTTGATAAATCTGAATGAAATTAAGCATTTTCGTAGAAAGCAATTTTAATAGCTCAGGGATTCAAACAGGTCGCCATGTATGCGTGTTCAAATTTGTAGAATGCTTACTATACTCTTTTAAGTTGAATAAAGCTAAGCATAACTTAGGCAGTTATCAATCACATCAGTCGACATTCTGACCACAGGTCTTTAGATTACCACAACTTCTATAGCCAGTTGGACTACTGGACTGCTAACATAAATCACTGGAAATGTAATGCAAGGTCGTAACAGACTGAGTAGTGAAATTGTGATTAAGCCAAAACATCATATTGATGCATTCATAGCCATATTAAACTTCGTCTAGGTTAGAGGACATTCAGTTGTTCTGATTGGTTGAAAATTGGCCTCACAGTTAAATAAGACTGGCCAATGATGAGTGAGGTTGTTTCCTGACCACAACGTAAACCACTTAACTTAATAATAATATTGATTTTAATTTTTCGCCACTTCCTATCAATCTGAATCAGGTTACCATAGTAGTATAACGCTGTTTCTTCTTATTATTATTATTCTGCTCTATGAATGTTTACGCATGTATTTATGTGATACTGACTGCCTTCGTCATTTCCTTGCGAAATTTTCATTTTTATGCTGTTTTATTCTCTCTCTCTATGTCTCTCTGCTTTCTAGAAAATCTTTACAAATGCCTCCATATTTAACCGGATTCTATCTATTCGTGATAATTCATTTGGTGCAATCTGTGAGTTTATATCATTTTACCATTAAATAGCTTGCCTGCTTACTTATTTACTTTGCTTGTTACAACATTCATTCACAGTTGTTATCCCTTTACGCTTCAAGGTTTTCTTGAAGAAAATGACTGGTGATTTCTTTTAGTTGATTAGGGTAAATAATCATCAATGACTACTAATTTTATCGTATCAATAAAGTGAATAATTGTCAATATGAACGACGAATATTCTTTGCAATAATTTCTCCTCTTCAGGTTCTTACAATTATAAAATACAATATTTGTTGTCGTTAGAATAAAGGTCACTTATGCGGCGGCGGATACATTTTTAAAAGGAGAATAACAGATTAGTAGTTATGGGGTGTCAAAATAAATAGTTGTACTATCCGGACTTATTATTGGTGATATTATCTCTTTTCTCAATATATGCCTCCACCTGTTTCACTATACATATTCGTTATTTGATTATGAACCTCTCATTGCAGTCTTACTATCTCCTGTTTAACACAGACCACTTTGTACTAGCCATTCACCTGACATCTTTTATAACCACTTTTATTACCACTAAGTATAGAAATTCTACAATAACCTATTTAGCCCGTACTTTATGTGACGAAGACACTGTTAGACGTGAAACGCATAAGTTACTATGTAATTAGCACAGCGAATCGCCCCTTTCATAGTTCATCTCTCTGTATTTTATGGTGTCACCCTTTCTATTGTCTAATTATAACTCTGCTATTTTATTTTAGTTGGTATTACTATTATTACTATAATTATTTTTCTCCGTATTGCAGACAGTAGTTCGCTATGTAGCTGCTATAACAATCGTTTTATTATTATTATGTAATGTGTATTTTTAATTTTATTTTGTCGTTTTTTGAGTAAATTAGATGCAATATTGTACTGAATGCTGAAAATTCCTTGCTGTATCATTAGTACTGTTTTTGGAATAAAGCAAAAAATTATTATTATTATTGTCAATTTTCCTACCCCACACTCTACAAATCTATCATGATTAATCACCACCATTGTCTCCCGTTTTACAATATTTTGGTAATCGATTTCAGCCCAGCGCTTCTGTCACACAAATACGACTACCTATTTTGGTTCGAATCCCGGTGGGTGCGTCCTGCCGAAGACTCCCAAACTAGAACGAAACGGTTGTACAGTACTCCCAGGATTTCCAGTGGTTCTCTAACCAATGTCAGCTCATGATGAAATCCTGTAACCAATCAAATCCCTACAAATCAACACTTGAATAATCTGTTTTTCTACGTTAAAAATGTATCCGCCGCCGCATAATTGGCCTTTATTCTAACGACAACAAATATTGTATTTTATAATTATAAGAACCTGAAGAGGAGAAATTATTGCAAAGAATATTCTTCGTTCAGACTGACTTTTAGTTCATAAAATGGGAATGTTTCACACTATGAATAATTGTCAATTGAATCGGTTCAAAAATAGACCTAATTACTCATTAGTTGATAAACTAACCAGTTAAGAACATTTGTAAAATCTCATCGAAATTGAAATGAGTAATTCCAACAGTGTTTTCTGCTTTCACCAAACTGATCCGAACTTCTTCAGGACAACTGTTGTTTTTTTTTTAAAAAAAGAAAACTTAGATCAGTCTTATGAGTCGTGAAACAAGCACCAAAATATATCCAACAAACAAAATTGTATGAGTTATGATCGAAATTCCACCATTTTAGACTTACATAGGGAGGAGTACTCATGCTATGCATGTGTTGATGAGAGAGGACTTCCCGAAATGCTTAGAAAGACAAATGTGAACTGTGAAAATCGGTAGATGCAGGTGGTAGACTACCGACTTCGTCTATAGCCAAACATCTAATCGAGATTAACCATAAGATTGAAGGGCGCCCATTGAAATATGCTGAGGCTACAGCTATTCATAAACTTAAACCGCCACCCTCACCCACCTGTGTATTCAAAAACAGTTTATTATTACTATTAACCTATTATGGTTGTGTTAATTATTCTTATTATTTTTAAATCTCTTTTGTCACTTTGTTTAATTTAATTGTATTTAATTTTTTTTCATATATATCGACTTGACAAGTAAATATGTGGGGGATGAGATAGTTCGAAATGTATAGCGCGAACACATCACATTGTTTTTCAGATAACTTCCGTTTTCCAATAACACTATCCAAATTTACAAATATTAGTCTACTTATGTTAAAAACTTTAAACAGATTGTACTTTTCATCAGAATTTTAGACATTATGTTCAACTAGAAGTTCATAGTTGTAGATACCTTAATATGCGGTGTACAGTGGTGTGTCAAGCAGACTATAATTATCTTTAAATCCCAATAAACTGAATGTCTAAATGCCTCCGCTTAATTTTTACTAATTATACGTCGGTGGCGCAACGGTTAGGACTCTCGTCGACCATGCACATGGTCCAGGGTTCGATCCCCAGCCGACGCACACCTCATATCAATCAATGGTGGGCAACCTTTATCACATGCTGAAAATTTTATAATTCTACCAATAATACAGTGTGGAATCAAGCTAAAATCAAAAATAAATAAATAAAAATATCTGCTTTAATGAGATAAATTTAATAAATAATCTTTTTTGGTGCATGCTATTTAAGCATTAAAATGGAGACAACGAAAGACAGCCTCTGTTGAAGCCTAGGCTACCAACACACCTCTGCACTATATGTTACATACAATTCCTCTTGTTCAGTTAGTCTATTTCTTGAAGATTCTGGGGGAAGAGAAATTATTACGCAACCATTTCCGGTGGAAATTATGTGCATTACATGAACGCTGTTCAGAATAAAGCTATTTTTGGTATAATATGTCTATATACATTTTTAAAAATTTTTATTTTCGATTACAGCTTGATTCCACACCGTATTTTTGGTACAAGTATGGAATTTTCAGCGTGGATATCGGCAGCCCAAATTTCGCAGGCCGACCATAGATATCAGGTGTGCGTCGGCGTGGGCTCGAACCCCGGACCATGTGCATGGTCGGCGAGAGTCCTAACCACTGTGCCACAGACGCACAGCACGTGATATTTAGGCAAAATGGAGTACTGCTGATGATTCTAAAATTAGGATGAAGCAGCTGGCTGTCCAATACTCCAGTGCTGGTTTTCAATGCTTCTGTAAATGAATACAATCTGTGACCAACTCGTAAAAGAAAAAACTAATCCTTACAAACCAACTCTTGCAAAAATTAATCTGATGCTCGCTAGTGACTTATTACAGGACGTCGTTCCCTGGAGTTCTAGTCAGAAATCGTAACCAGTGAGGTTCATCAAGTCAAGTGTGAGGATGGATATTCTATCGATGACATTGGTTGGTGCCAGTCACGACAAATCACAAATCGGTAGGAGTGAGAATTCATGCACTGGGTGGTCATTGAATCGGGTAGAATATCAGTGGCTGAATGTTATGCGAGCCGGCTTGCCTTGTAACTGGAAAGTCCTGGGTTCGAACCCTGGTGGTGGGTGAGTACTGCCGATGATTCCAAAGCACTAGGACGGATGAAACAGTTGGCTGTTCAGTACTCCAGTGGAGGTTTTCAATGTTGTTCTCTAACTGATATCTATCCGTGATCAACTCGTAAAAATCTACATTATATTATTTCTTGAAATATATTCTTCCGCCGAAACATCCTCTAAACCCCAGCAGTTTTATTCCCTCGAAAGACACTTAGTGTGTATACTGAATCAATGAATGAATGGGCACAGATTATTCTTCACCGATACAACTAAATGACTGTAATAAGGGGCAGACTGAGTGAATCTTTAAAGCATTACACACACTCTATGGAAAATTAGGTTATATGTAGTTTAACAAAAATTCTCTGATATTATTTCATTGAATGAATAAACGTCAGATGAAATATCCACGTAAATTTTCTACGCACTTTTAAATATACAGAAATGCTTAGATGAATATAAGACCTCATAATCTTCAACCTTTCAACATGAGTCTTGTTGTCACATTAAGCCATCTTCGAAGATATCTTTCTCTGTCGTATGATCAATGATCATTGTCGATTAGATAGACTTAGTCGAATATTCAGGATGTATAATGCAGAAGAAGATTTATGGTTTGATTTGATAGAGATGTTATTTTAAAAAAAAGATTCCTACCGCTGTCTAAATTTATAATTAATTGTTTTATATAATAGGCACAACTTACAAATAATTAAATTTATACACCAAGGTGAATGCTGAAATACTTATCACTGTTTCTGATGTGGTTGTGTTCTCTGAGATGGCTGGATGGCTTCTTTGTGAAACTTTCATTGCCCCCAACACTAGACAAAATCTTCAGCGCCCATACTTCAATTTAAATTGAAGTGAGCTTTTAGATTTCTCCACAAGTTTACTGGTCATGTCTCCTGATGACCTGACCTTGAGAGTGATTGGTTGTTTTGTGTGCTTTCACACCCTAATGGTGGCTAATTGTATTGGAGCTGGTTGTTTCTTTGACTTGAACTTCGACCGTTTGTGTGTGAGATTCCTTTCCTACTGATTGGTAAATTTTGTCTATCTCGATGTGTCTATTGACTGACGATTCCTCAGAATACCAGTCTAGGCTTCTAAAAATTCTCTTGCATACTTAGTGTTTTCTCTGTCTAATATTTTAACGTCGTCCCTGTCGAATTGATGTCCGTGGTTGTCTGTATATAGTGATTGAGCGACGGAGTGGATTTCATGTCTTTTGACAGCTAGTTTATGTTCATGTATGAGACGAAGACGAAAGGGACATTCACTCTGGTCAATGTAGTATTTTTGCAGTTTTTAAAATTTATTTTGTAGATGATGTTGGTTTTATCTTCTTTCGTTGTTGAATCTTTTGGTCGACATAAAATTGAGTGAATTGATTTTTTTGGTTTGTGTGTGACATCAATTTCTAAAGGTTTGAAGAGTCTTGCAATAATTTCTGAGATGTTCTTTATATAAGGTAGGGTGATTTTCTTTGTGTTTTTCTTGGGGGGTTTTGGTTTG